TCAGTTGTTGCCAACAGAGTACAAAGTAGGAACTATGGAAAATTGACTGCCAATTAACTGCCAATGAGGGGATGGTAAAATTGATAGTGTTATAAACGCAGATTTCGTTTTCTTTCCTGGTAAAGCTGCCAGACGTTGACTACAAGCCAATAGATCCAGCTTCTCTTCGTCTTCCTGCACCACAGCCGCCAAGTGAAAGACTTCTTGCTGCAGTAGAAGCGTTTTACAGTCCACCTAGTCACGAGAGGCCTAGGAACAGGTTAGTCAGTCTGACTGATATCTTACATCTCCTTACTCTACTAGTATAGATTATGAGTACGTAAATGAGGAGAGAGGAGGAGAGAATATTTTAAAAAATTTTGAATTGAATTCTTCCTTTGATATTTGAGCCCTTGGATTTTACGGTTGATATTTAGAACTCTTTGATGTTCCATACTAGATACATGAGGCAGTGGTTACCGATAATTTTAATCTTTTTTTGTTTGATACTCGATGTTTTAAAATCTGTATTCGGATATTCTTCGGAAATCGCCAAAAGAGCTCGAAGGCCATCCGAAGTCGTTCGAAATCTGAGATCGTTCGGGTAAAGTTCGGAAATCTGAGATTGTTATTGCTTCTGCATGGTTTTTTGCTAACTGGAGTGATCAAAATAACGCTTTCTGAGAAAATTATTGGCAGTTGGACTAATGGTGTCTGAAACATGTTTCCTACAGTGAAGGGTGGGAGCAAAGTGGTTTGTTTGAGTTTTACAAAGCAAAGCTGAAGTACATAAAAGATCGAGAGGAAGCCGAGAAACTCAAAGTGCAAGAAATTCCTCCAAGCAGATCAAGGTCCCATTCCAGATCTCCCCGGCCACGCTCTCGTTCTCGCTCCCAATCCCCTCGTCAGCGGCGGTCTCGTTCTCGCTCTAGATCCCCTAGAAGACGGCATTCACGGAGCAGGTCCAACTCTCCAAGACGAAGAAGGTAAAGTCATGTCAAAAGGCCATCAGCAGGGGTGCATGCAAACGGTGTGACCTTTTGTACATAGTAACTTAGAGGAAATGTATGGCAATGTTGTAAAGGTTCGCATCACTGTACCTATTTGAGACGAATAATCTCACGGCATTTAACATAAAATAAACGCGCCTTTGTGGTCAGATAAGGATTTTTCGCCTAACCCTTGATGTTAAATGAGAATATTCATCACAAGTTAGTATGTGATAGTGTAGTCTGATCGTCCGGATGAGTGCAGTCCTGAGAGGGACTGTTGTCGGTAGTGGCGACTGACGTTTCGACAACCTGGGCGGAAGTCATCACTGATGGCGACTACTAGATCAAGTATACTAGATGAAGTTTTTGGACATTCCCATAAAGTCCATTTGAATTAAAATAAACGAAAAGTCACACCGTTTGTGTGGGTGCCCAGTAATCGTTTCACAACATTTCAGTTATCCTTGGCCCACCCTTTGTGTAAATTGCATTTGACTTTCTTGTTACAGGTCACGCTCAAAATCTCGATCACGTTCAAGATCACGATCACGTTCACGCTCCAGGTCACGATCACGTTCAATCTCACCAATGTTCAAGTCCAACAGAAGTCCTGGTAGAAGTCCAACGCCTCCAAGTTTTCAGTAAGTATTCTAAAAAGGTTCTCTCATTTTTGTTTTTTTTTTCGAAGATTCCAGAGGAACCTAAGTTTGAAGGGCCCCTTTTGGACCTGAAAAGATGGGGTCCCTTCAATGAAGGAAATAAATAATGATGGACCTCCATTTATGGGACACCTTCGGAAATATAAAAAGTGTCCCTTGAATGGAGCTCACAGAAACGAAAGTTATTAAAGAATCTTTTTTTAAAATTCGGAAACAAAGTTTATATTCCCTGAGAGGAGGTAATCCCTGAGTAGAAGTTTCCTAAAGAATACGCCCCTCTTGATTTCGCTCGAATGTGAAATATTAGCGAAGAATGCTTGGTGTCTCAATTGACTTGGTTGTGTTTTTTCTTTCCAGTCCGTCGTACACATCAAAGGTCCCTGAACAAAGACTGGATGAAAGCAACGTCGGACATCAGATGCTCAAGAAAATGGGTGGGTTGGACCGTGACTTTGAACAACACCTAGACTAAAGATTGCGTGACTCGTGACGTTTTCCTCGTGTAACACTCAATATGCAAACTAAAAATATTTATAACTTTTAACACACAACCACCAGCCAATGGTAATTCGCGTCAACGTATCATCTGAGATTATTGAAACGAACTTTTCGTGACAGAATGTGATATTTTTCATCGTTAGGTTGGGAAGGAGCTGGACTGGGTAGAAGTATGCAAGGGATACAGGATCCAATATCAGGGGGGGAGATTCGGGATAAGTTTGACAAGTTCAAGGTGAGGAACGAGTCATTGCCGTTGTACTTTCTCTGTTAAGAGTCTGCTGATTATCAAACTTGTAATTAAAGGGCAGAAAATTCACCTCAACTATGAAGATACCTTGAGATAATATAAAACTTTTAGAACTAATGATAGAATACCTCCTTAGAAATAAGTTGAATTGAAAATAATGACTGTGTTTTTGTCTTTATCTCAGGGGGTTGGTGCAGACATGAAGGACCCGTTCGAAGCATATCGGAAGAGTAAAAGTTATTCTTTTTTGGGTTCACGTATCGGTATGTTTAAATGTTACCATTATCATTGTTATTAACATTATCGTTATCAGTATCATTGTCGCCGTCTGATCGTGTAGTCTGATCGTCTGGGTAAGAGTAGTCCTGAGAAGGACTTTTGTGGAAAGAAGTCACTGACGTTTCGACAAGCTAAGCGGAAGTCATCATCGGGGTCAAGTGAAGAGTTGTTGTCAGTCGAGTGTTCTAAGTCTGGTTCGTGTAAACTGGTTGGTCAGTTTAGCCTTGATTTATTGGTCATTTACCATTATTACTATTATTATTGTTGTTGTTGTTGTTGTTGTTTTTACAATCCGCTTATAATTGTTTAATTGTTGTCTTTCAAGAGGGCTTCGATCTGACTTAGATGCTTTAGAATTCTTTAATGACTAAAAGATCTGTAAAAATAAACGTCCTGCACGTGAACTCAAACACTTTAACTCCTAACTCTCAATTTCAAAGTATTATCCAGAGAACAGGTTTGTCAACTGAAGGGTGTTATCTCGATAAAACTCCAAATTCTTTCACACATTTTACAGGGAAATGTGTAGCGGCAGAAAGGAGAATTGCTGATCAGATCGTTCTAAGACCATTTTCTATTTTAATCCACAGCTAAATCAGAAGCCAAAGCAGCTGCAAAGGCAGCAGCGAGAGCAGAGAGAAAGAAAGATTGAAACTGTGAACAGAAGAGGAAGTGTATTTAAGACAAGAGGCACGGAAATCGCTAGGGAAGTTATCCTCGTGGTGCGTTGAAAAGGGACTCGAATTGAGCCATGGTTTTGTCAAAGACCTCGAGTAGCTGCTTCACATAAGTTGGCATGACAACGACCCGCGCGTGTTGGGGTTTCGTAATAACTCCCCGGATGCATTCATCGAAGATTCGTGAACTTCCCAAACCCCCCCCCCCCTCCACTCCCCTTCCTGACATCTATAGATTCAGCTAGGCTTCGTGCTGTTCTCTAGCTTACATTCATAGGGAGCCCGTAATCTTTTGACTTTTACAGCGTGTTTATATTAATAACTATTGCACTGTACACTGCTTGCTCAGTTTAATTACTTGTGTATCCATACTAATTATTAAAGAGCTTTACACTTCATGCATAGCTTTAACTACGCAAAAATTAAACAAAGCTTAAAATTTGAAAACTAACTGAGATAAAAGAGACAAAAAATAATTAAAATTCTTTTAAACTCTGTCGTATGAGTTGTAACTAGTGATTATCTGTGGTATTACTACTGTACCTTTTACAGTAAATGGTTTGAACCTGGGGGTTACATGTAATAGTGTAATTTGATCGTCCGGGGGAGTGTAGTCCTGAGAAGGACTGTTGTCGGTAGTGGTGACTGACGTTTCGACAACCTGAGCGGAAGTCATCTTCAGAGTCAAGTGATTAGTTGTTGTCAGTCGAATGTTCTTAGTCCTTACAGCGTGCGAGTCACAAGTCTGTCGCAAGTTTAGCTTGCTATAAGCTGTTCTCTTCCAGAAAAGGCAGTTCTACATGTGTAAAAAAGGCCGTCAAGGTCGTTGCAGTTGAGGTTGCTGGGCGCGCTCGCATCTGTCGTCTAAGTTAATTACACTTTTAGTGCTAACGAAACTTAGACGGGGCTACTGTCCTTTTTTTAAATGAGAACATTTTACATCACTCACAGAAAACTGCTCATAAGCGCAGCCTCCTTTACCTTCTATGTTCCATCACTTGAATAAAAACAGAAGTAAAAAAAAGAATGGCTAGTGTGCTTGGTATCTATACCACCGTGCAGATGATTAAGACAAATTGAATTCTTGTCACTGGTCTCTCGTAGTTCACTGGCAAGGGATCGTGTTTTAAAAACGAACTCCACACTTTCCAACCTTCAATACTTACCTCAACATTTATTAAAAAATAATTCTGTACGGATGGGGAGACTCGGCAAAATTGAGCCTTAATTCTTCACAAAAGCTTGGTTTGAACGGAATCTTAGGACTGGAACATTCTGCATTTCCATGTTACGTACAATTGGACTACTGTGTGATTATTTTTCCAACGCGATCATAAAAGTTTGCGTGAACGCGCTAATGGCATTACAGCACAACGCAATCTCCAAGTCAGTCTGCTTGTGTGATCTGAAGGGGGTCTCTGAGCTTATCTTGAACTTCATAGGGGAGCATGTTGCCGCGTAGAAGTCAGCTTTCAACTCTTAACTTTCTCCTGAGGAACACTTGAACAAGAGGAGAATGAAGCTAGGTTTCTGTTCCCTCACACCGTTGTCCAAGTATACTGAATTTTCCTTCGCCTCTGCCTCGATATGGTGATTGCTTTGCCTCGATCTGGTGAGTACCTGCCTGTTTTTCATTCGTTTATCACTCCTAAGCGGGAAATTTGTCTTCGATTTGGTGCAATGGCCCCCGTGCGAAGGAAAAATCGGAAAAGAAGTGCAGCGAGAACCAAAGGAGGGTCACAGAAACATCCAAACAAGGATGTAGTTGGGACAGAAATTTCAAAAATAACATGTTCATCTAGCAGATCGAAGGTTGATCTAACATACAAAGAACTTGGCGTTGCAGAGCTGCAATGGCCCGCCGCGGACGAACGAGAACTGAGCCAAGAAATAATGAGAGTGAATCCACTAAATAGGCAGTCCATTCTTCAGGTAAATAAGAATTTCGTGAATGAACATTTTGCGAGGATTGAGCCTTATGCTAAACATCGTATTGTTATATTTAATAATTTATTTGCCTGTGAGTATAATTCAAACATTCCCGCCACATTTGTGTGTATTGCCTCACAGTTGTGTATGTTAATGAAGCTGAAATCGACGTGCTCTGTTGAATGTTATTCTTTTCTTGGTTTAATTTGTAATATTCATTTAAGCAATCTGATTCCCCTGATTCTTCGCTCGAGAGAAAGAAAGTCAGGAAAATCTTTCTGGACACAACCGAAGGTCAAAATTAATCAATGTCCTATGTCAAAATTTATTTGTTTCTACACTGATCTATGTACAAGCCAAACTTTAAGTCAGTATGATTTGACAGGGTATCATAATTCTACGTACTACCTGCCATTTCTTTTAATTTTCATTCTGAGAATTAAGTGTCAAATCGGACAATATCCCTCGGATGATAATTTTTTTCAGTATTACATAAGCATAGATGACAGTAATAAAGTCATATCCATTTCTACTCTTGGACTAGATCCATTTGTAAGCAGACACGTAGAGATCAACTTCTTTTGTCTTGTTTTCCAGGCTCCCTGTCAGAAGTTTGTTGTTAGTCATTGGGGAAAAACTTCATCTTTAGTGGCAAGTGGTTCATCATCCACTAACAGCAAAGCCTGGAAAAGTGGACCAAAATCAAAAGAATCAACAGCCTGTGTTCATAAAAGGAAAAGAACTGATGTGAAAGAAAAACCTACTCCTAGTAAGGCATAATTAGGACTGGAAATATATATATCATGAAAAGTCTCTCAAATCAAGGAAAAGTACAAATCATTCTTATTTGTTATGTCAAGAACTGGTCAACCCTTTAACTCCCATGAATGACAATCGCAAAATTTTCTTTGAAAAATTTCAAACAATATCAAGCAGACAGGTGATGAGAATAGGGAAAAAAAATCAATCAGAGGGTTATTAGTTGATCCAATACCAAATTCTCCATACTACATCATAAGAATTTTATGGCAGTCAGTAAGGAAAATTACTATTGAGATCTTGGGAGTGAAAGAGTTAACAATATAACTTTTTGGTTACATCCTCACATGACCTTCAATGAATTTTTTTTTCAGATTATTGGATGATGTTATCTGATGAAATAATTCTGTCAATCTTTCAATTCTTACCAAAGAAGACAATAGTAAGATGCGCCAGAGTTTGCAAACACTGGCAAAGGCTAATGTAAGTAACATTAATTTTAATTAGTCTTAGTGGCAGCCAGTCCGTGATGCTAAATGTAACCCTAGCAGGGGTGTCAATAAATTGTTTCCAAAAGCTGCTGCTGTAATGTAATAGGTGACCTTTCCTGTAAAGGAGCTGCCCCAGTCTTAATGCATCAATTATTCCTGTTGATGCATCTCCTTTTACCTTTATCTGATCTCAGTGGTTAAACACTCTCTTTTTCAGGTATGATGAAAGTCTATGGCATCGTGTAGACATGACTAAGTCAAACCTCTTACCTGGTTTGTTAGGAAAGGTATTAAAACGAGGAACCAGGGTGTTGCGAATAGCCCATGCAAAGGTAACTTCAGGTGTTCATGTCCATGATTTTTCTGCAGTTACATTTAATGTACTCATTCAGTAACATTCTATGGACATGTTGTTTTAGATTATTTCTCATCAATAACATTTTAATGTCCCTTTTACAGGTTGCTTCACCTTTATGTGATGATAATGCTCCATTCTTCCTTGATGTAGTTCCTCTGTCACCAAAGTCACCAAGGTTAGTGTTCTCCAGAAGCACCCATATGTAGCCCAAAGTTTGGAAAAGTTGATGTTGGATCAAAAGTCAATTACGGTTTAATTTATTTCCAAGCACCCATTATAAATAACTAACATTAATCCTTTTTTTTTTCTTTCCTCTTTGTCATTTTAAGTAAGTCGTTATTCAACCTGAGATTATTAGATGCCACTTCATGCAGTTTTCAAGAGGATACCCTCCTCTGCCTTCTCATGGTATGTACTGAAAGTGGACTTCTTGAGATCAAAAGACCCTTTCCAAATGTTCAAGTTTGAGTTGAAGATGAGGGCTTTAGGAGTTTATTCTTCTGCCATTTCCAAAGACACAAGCTACTTTCAAGCTTTTCAATCTTTTCATCGAATTATATGCTACAGAAGAAAATCACTTGTATTAAGTGTCGTCTGTTCCAAGTGTAGTAGGATAGGGTAAGCTGCAGCGCAAATGAGAGATGACATAAAACATTATGAAACTCTTTTCATAAAATTGTTTGTGCGTTTATTTCACTTAAGCAATCGAAACAGCTGACCCACATCAGTTTGGAATCCTGCAAGGTTTCTACAGCCATATTAAAGTAAGAACAAGATACATTGACCTTTGTAGTAAATTACACAATCAGACCTTTTCCACTGTGAAAAGCACAGTTGCTAGTTCATAAGAGAACACTAATTCACTAACACAATCGTAATTTGATCATTGGCATGGTCTTTGCAGTGAGCCTTGTGGTTTCAAGTTTCCTTACCCTTCTTTCCTCCAAAACTTAACCCTTGAATTCCCAAGGTCAATCAGTTACAAGAATTTGGTGTTAGATCAAGATAATAAATTCTACATGTACCTGATAAGTTTGAGTATTCTCATCAGCTATTTTCTAGGTAATGTATGGATGTTGTAGGGAGATGCTACATGCTAATCACTTCTGGGAGTTCAAGGGTTTTAAAAAAAAATAATAGAATCTAAATAGTTCATTACTGAACCTTTTGACTCCCATGAGTGACCAAGACAGAATTTCTCCTTACAGTATCAATGCAATATCAACCAGATGAGTGATGAGAATAAAGAAAAATATAAATTAGGGGATAATTAGTTGATCCAATACCAAATTATCTGAATGAACATTATAAGAATTGTATGGTTGACAGTAAGGAGAATTTAAAATTTGATCTGGGAGTTAAAGGGTTCATAGATAAAATAGATTTATCACAGGACTAATTACACTTATGTTTTAGAGATGATAATGGTGATGATGAGTTCTGATGATTGCTGCTTCAATCTTTGCAATGATAAATATAAATATTTATTCCAATTATAATTTTTCTCTGTAGATAATTTATACCTTTTTTACACCCTTTGTTTTGATGCATATTGCCTTCTTTTCTGATTTTAGAGCCGTCAGTGAACTGCGCAATCTTGAAGTTTTAAATCTTGCCATGTGCACTGGTGTAACAATCACAGGAATTTGCTCCTTGGTTAAAGGTGGAAAAAACTCCAGGTGCATGTTCATTAAAAAACTTATTATGATCAGAAAAAATGCATTCTAAATGTTAGATTGTATTAAAAAAATAGATTCTCTGCTGCCATGGGTCTGGTCAGTAAAAGATCATAGATAACATCAAGATGTGGTAAGACCATAAAAAGTGGCACATGAGGTGCAGCCATGTGTGTCACTGATGTTCTGACCACATCTTGAAGTCTTCTGTGATCCATTACTGTAAACCCATGGCAATGGAATCTATTTGTTTTAACCCATTAACTCCCATGAAGGACCAAGACAGAATTTCTTCTTACAATGTCAACCAGATGAGAATAAAGAAAAGTATCAAATTGGAGATAATTAGTTGATCCAATACTAAATTCTCTGAACTAACATAAGAATTGTATGGTTGACGGTAAGGAGAATTACAAATTTGATCTGGGAGTTAGAGGGTTAACAAGATAGAAAAGCAAAATGTTTTTGATGGTGACACGTCATCCATGCATCTGTCCTTCAAGAACCAATCAAAATGCATGCATTTATAATTCAGCTTACCATACAAATCAGTTTGATGAATTTTTATTTCAAATCTGGCCAATTGACAGATAACTCTCATTTTAATATAATACGTGTACATATGTTATGTTAAATTACTTCAGTTTTTTATTTTAGACTCAAGCAGTTAAATTTAGCATGGACAAACCTCACAAAGGCAACAATGATGCAGGTAGATGATCCTATATCTAGATCTTGTTTTATCTATAGATTTTGTTTTTATAGATAGATCTTATCAGACTTGCTTGAATTAAACATCTTAAAGAGTTATTTTAGCATGTCAGAAATGCTATGTGCATTAGTTTTTTTTAAGTGTTGAATTAGTCTAGTATAAAAATTATGAAGAACAGACTTTTCATGAAACATCATTACATCTGGAAACATTCTACAAAATTACTTAACATATTTAATTGGTAACATTTCCTTTAAAACTTAGAAAATGGCCGATACTAGAAATACTTTTTAACATTTTGTTTTCCAAGGAATAAACCAATCAGGCTTGAGAAAACTAAACCACAACAGTAATAATAACAACAAAATGATCACCAATTCAAGAAGATCCCGATTGTTAAACAACTGATTCTTGTCAGCACCATAGGAAATGAATAAATTACAGTATTAAGAATATGGCTACAGATGTGAGGGTATAGAGAGTAGATGGTTTTCCAAGTATCACAGTGTATTTAAATTTATTATTTTAACAGCTTATAAAGAATCTACCACAGCTGCAACAACTCAACCTCAGTGGATGTAGAGAGACTCTTACTGATGATTGTATGTGATAACATATTGTGCACTTAGTCTAATTAGTAAATAGATTCCATGTTGCTCTACTCCAACTGATGGCTGTATGTGATGATATATTGTGCACTAATTAACCCTTTAACTCCCATGAGTGACCAAGACAGAATTTCTCCTTACTATATCCATACAACATCATTTAGAAAAGTTGTGGGAATAAAGAAAAACATCAATTCTAGGATTTCTAATTGATCCAATACCAAATTCTCCAAACTAACATAATGAGAATCATTTGACAGACAGTAAGGAGAATTACTAATGAGATCTTGGGAGGTAAAGGGTTAATAAATAGATTCCATGTTGCTGTACTCTAACTGATGACCGTATGTGATGACATATTGTGCACTAATTAATAAATAGATTCTATGTTGCTGTGCTTCTGTTCAGTAATAGTTCATAAAATGCATCAAAATGTGGTAAAAACAACAGAGTGCCACAAAAGGCACAACCAAATTTTCCACTGATTTTCTTATCACATTTTGACAACTTCTGTGACTGTACAGACCTGCAGCAAAATGGAATTTATTTGTTTTATATGATAACAAAGTAAAATGTTATTTATGGTGAAATCATCAATGCTTCTGTCCTCCAGTAGATCATTAGTAAGAAACCACGCACAATGCATGTGTACTGTAGCTGATCATATAAAGGGGCAATTTTTCTAAAACAAGCACCTTTCATCATTCTTTCACATCCCAACTCTTGACCACCAACATTTCTTCATAGTTTCCTTACAGTTCCTACATTCCTAAACCACTCTTATCTCTCTTGGCAATAGGCATCAAACAGCTTGTTAAATCATGTCCTCAACTAACTCATTTGGATGTCAGGTAAGAATGTCACAAACATAAATAATAAGTTTCCAGTCATCGTGTTGTATTTTGTTACAGACTCAGAGAGACTAACAACTTGTGTCTGGCTTTGCTTAATCCTTTAACCCTTTCACTCCCACAAGTGACCAAGACAGAATTTCTCCTTACAATATCAATACTAAATCAAGCAGGCAGGTGATGAGAATAGAGAAGATTATCAATCATGGGATTATTAGTTGATCCAATACCAAATTCTCTGAACTAAAATCATAAGAATTGTATGGCAGATAGTAAGGAGAATTACTAATCAGATCTTGAGAGTGAAAGGGTTAAACCCTAAGAGTGACCAGCATCTAATTTCTCCTTACAATAATACTTCTGAATCATTTCTTAAAATCGTGAGAATAAAGGAAATGATCACCAACCTAAGAAATTTTGTCTGTTTAAACAATCTTCTTGTCAGTACCAAAGGAAATGCCCAAAGAAGAGTATTGAGAACGTGGATTCTAACATTAGGGTGTAGAGAGTAAAGCAAAGCCTGGGTAACTTAGTTGACCAACTTTTCAAGTCTGGGTAGATTAAATAAATTGGCTTTCCAAGGCTTCTGAGAGTTGGCCACCCCAGATTCTTGAGACAAGCTTTTTCATTTTGACACTTCAAAGACACTTTTTCAGCTTCAGCCATAATGACCATCTAACTGATGATGAAGCAACTTTAAGTAGAACAAAATTTGAAACTTTGCATAAAGAATGCACACAACTTAGAATTATAATTGTCTATTGGAAAGGTCAAATTTTCATACTTGTCAGAGTGAGAAAGTATTTTGTAAACTAATAGTCTGATAATTTATCTTTTCAGTGATGGAGTAATGTTAACTACTCAATCTCTAGAGGCAATTCTCAAACTAAAGAACTTGGTTTGGTTGGGTGTTAGCAGATGTTACAGTATTCCACCAGTTTCTTTCAGGTAACAAATGGAATCCACTATTAAAACATGTTAAGTGGGCTGACTTTTTAAATTTAATTTATTGTTTTATCATCATAATGTGTTCATATATTCTTGTTAAGTCTTGCAGAACTAGTTGCCTATCATTGTTAGAGCCTACCCCTGTTATAGTCACATGAATTGATTGGAAGCATTTTTACCCTTGCCAGATGGGATGCAAGTTCATTGCAGGTTATTCCCTCCCCTGCCCTGCCCTCCCCCTACCTTCAGCATTTTGTCATTGCAGCTTTTGTTAATAACAACAACCTGAATTCTTTCTTATCCAACCTACACAAAACTACTCATAACTGAAAATAAAATTTTAAAACTGGCTGTCTGGAATATATAACCATCAGGGTTTGCCAATTCAGGCAATCAACCATCTTCTTGATGAAGGGAGTAAGTTTCAAAAGAAATTGTGATACTGTGTCAGTGGGGATATTACAAGATAATTTTGATTTATCAAATTAGTCACCATAAAGAGTTTCAAGCATTAGCTCTTCCCCATTCACTCTGACAAAGGGCAAATGCTTAAAGTATCAGCTTTAGAAACTCTTTACAGTGGCCAATTTACATTATGTGATCAAATTAGTTGATAAAACCAAACATTTCTTTTCCTTACATTGAATTTCACATCCTCCACACATTAATAACTTTTTCATTTTACTTTTCAGCTTATTTACCAAGATCAAATCACTTAAAACTCTGCAGCTCTTTGGTCTTCTGAACACAGAAGGTGTAGAACTACTGAAGGCTGACCTTCCAAACGTCAATGTGAACAAGTCATTTTTCTCAACTATTGCAAGACCAGTTGGGTCTGTGTACTTAGGAATGATATGGGGGGTCCAGTGCAAAGATTAAAAATTACAAATTATTTTAAATTAGGTTATTAAATCTCCATGAGATATTCTTACACTTTTGAAGATTCTTTCTGGGCAATTTGATTTAAATTTCGAAAAGTTTCTCTCCTATAAATTTTTGTATCGTGGTTAATGATTGTAATCAATCCCTTTGGTTTCATGTACTCTTTTTAGAGAAATACGACTTTTTTAAGCCTGGAGGCTTCATTTTTTCTGCATGACATTATCTTCATTTCAATTCAAAATTTTAAATTTTTCTAAATATATTTTTTATATCCAGCATTTTCAGATGCAGTTGATCTCAGAGAGATGCAATTATTTTAAGTTAGAAAAATTGGTATAATATGTAAGTCAGACTTGACACAAATTTCTTAGTTTGGACAGTTTTTCAATAAAGAAGTTAATTGTTCAGTTTTTGAAACATACCAAATGTAATTATATTTTCTCTTACATCAGTACAGAGTATGTCTTTGTTGGCAAAATTTAATACATATTTTAATTAGTTCATCAATCAACTGTTCAGATCTTATCTCCCTAATTGTTAATTCTCCCCTCTAGCAGCTACTCCTTTCTAAGCAAATAAGTTGTGAGAATTTGGTATTAGATCAAGATAACTTCTATCTGATAAATTTAAGTATTCTCATTACCTGTTTGCTAGATGATGTATAGATTTTATAGGGAGAACTTGCTTGTTAATCACTTCTGGAAGTTAAAGGTTAACCAACAACAGTGATCCAATTCACAAGCATTTCCAGCTTAGCCCTTTCAATGGTGGCTATCCCAAGTTGTGATGCACACAGAATATGCCATATCAAAACACATGCAAATGCTATCCAACTGATAGCATTTCAATATATTAATTTCAGTGGCTCTTAATGTTCCATGCTTCCTAAAGTTAAAGTAATAAATACAATAAGTCATATTAGAAATACACAAGCTTATGGACTTCTGTTGCAGTGACTTTGCCCAACTATCAACCCACCTTTGATTGTTTGTTAGAACTGATACATGTTCCAGTTTAAAATAGTTTGATATCAGTTAACAATGGCTTGTTTCCATCTTGCCTATGTATTATTGAATTGGAAACACAATGACTTTTTATGAAACTACTTTTCAGCTGTACAATTTACCATCTTACTATATAAATACACTACTTACACTCATACCCTTGGGTAATACCCCTGAAATTTAAGCCCTAATTTCCCCTTTACTTCATGAGAAATCATGGACAAAATTAACATCTGACTGCCTTTCACATAACCAGGCTAAGGGCTAGAAGAAAAAATCTAAAATGCAACTTGTTTTCAAGAATTGGATTGAAATGAAAATTGCATGGATTTGTTCAGATTGGTTAATGAGCTACACAAGTTACTTTGCTAAGACAGAAATATATTTGCCCCAGACAACTGAATATGAATTTTTCAAGTTTGGCAAAATATTGGTTGAGATTTTTTAACTTTAAGTCCTTATGAAAAGGCTGACATTTCAAATTTGTTGTTCAAAAATGACCAATGACAGCAAACACATGATAAAACCAAAATACCTACTTGATTATTAACAAGAACCTTGAAATTCAACACTGACCCCTATAACTTAAGCCAACTTTTTTTTCCTCCAAAGTTCAAGTCAACAGTAATTGAAAATTTATCATTCATTCTTGTTTCTTTACTGGACCACAAGTGTAATTTGAATCAAGTCAGGAATCATCCGTTAAAAAAATGACCAATACTGTTTCAGCTGAGACCCTTAGCCCAGAATATATATTGATCTTGCTTTGAACAACATTGCCTAAAAGGGCAATTCATCAAAACAAACAATTCCTTACAAAGGGATGAAGCTTAAGAAAAGGAAGACATTTGAGACTTTTTGATAATGCTTATTTTCTAAAAGGTGACTCTGGTAGAACTAGGAGGAAAATGTCACATTCATTTACAATTTTCAAGTTCACAAAGACAAGATTAAGTCTAAAATCTTCAATCACTATAAATCATCAAAAATGTTCTTTGGTGCTCGACTAGAGGAAGATATTCCATAACCTGAGGCACCACCATAACTGGATCCTGAACTGTTGATATCATAATCTGCAGCTGACAGCAACTCTACACGATCACTCTCAGGCTCGAACCGTGAATACCTTGCATAATTTCCATCTGATGCAGTTAAATTTGTGCTAGATGTGGCATGATCCTTGTTTGAGAGTCCTCTGCCTTCACGATCTGATTTACGAGTAAGTTTTCTTTTTGCTGACTCAGCTCTTTCTGACCAAGTTTCCTAGGAAAACACAGAGTAGGTTCTTACTATTACCATAAGATCACTTGCTGTACCTATCAATTCTAACAGGTAATTAAACTCCATGAGTTTGAACTTATGCAATTCCTTCTACAAAGAATTTCCAAACAAAAAGATACTAGTGAAGGAAAAGTTGGACAACTGTAACTAACCTTTCTACTGCCATCTTCTGTCAGCATCTCTCTCTTTCTTCTCTCTGCAAAGGACAAAAACATGCTGATTGTTTTGTACACAAACTTGACAGATATGTCATGTGAACAGAATTAAATTCTAATATGCAAGTGAAGAGAAACACTGCAAGCTGAGTAAATTATGGAGCCTGAGGACACAACAAGATTCTCCAAAATTCTCCTTACAAATTGACTTATATTTCCTTGTACATCACAAGGAGAATTTGATATTTCATCAAAAGTCACTAAAGGCTTACTTCAACCTACCCCTGCAATCCTCGACATTTAAAGTCATAGACACTTGTTTGAAAAGGAAATCTGATAGTGACACAACCTTGCAACAGCTTCTTTGAAATGTTACAAAACTATCTCATCTTTGTAATTACACATGTAACTTAAGTATACCTCTTCGTGCTATATCCTTTCCTTCACTGACATACTCTGCTGACAGATCATCTTCAATGATAAAAGTTTGGAAACCAAGACAGTTTAAACATCTAGTGCCAAGGCTGAAGTATGTAGCCAGGCACACCAGTACAACACACATTGGGTAGTACATGTTCACTCCTTTGGAAATCAATGACAGTACATCCATGTGACCCATGAACTGTAAAACAAAAAGAAGGGTAAATCTAACTGTCTATCCAACAAGAGGTTAACCCTTAAACCCCTAAAAGTGATTATCATCTAATTTCTGCCTACAATGTCAATCCTGAATCAAACTTTAAGGTCACAAGAATAAAGGAGATGATCACAGAGAACCTTTGGATTTTTAAACAAATTTTCCATGTCAGATTCTTAGAAATGACAAACAAGCCCAAAACAATGTTCTCCATATCTACACCAATCATCTCAAATTTGCTAATGGAGGAAAGAGAGAAGATGGAAGGATCACACAAACAAGTAGAAAAGAAGGGCAATTTTTTGATAAATATTTTCTGGGACCCTTTCCTTCACAATTGTTATCCAAATCTCTCAGTTACTAAAAGAGTTGGCTGTGATGATCCACCCTCATGAGGAGTCCTTATGATAAATCATGTTGCTGTAATCTTTTTTATTTCATTTAACATTTAAAGACTTTGAAGAATTAAGTTCAGGGTTGGTATTACCACCCACCCACCCCCCCCACCCCTTCCTAACTCTTTCCCACCCCACCCCTACAACTTGGTAAGGTGTTGCACATGACAGATGTATCATCCTTACTTTAGTAAAGGAAGTTTCCACTGGTTCTGCTTCCCCAGTCACATGGCCATCAAGATGAATAACAGCAAGAAAGTTAAGACATAAAGCATATGTTAGGCGACAGAGAAGTCTGCAAAGAAAGACAAAAGCTAACATTGAAAGTTTTGTTTTAAATCCTGGTAAACACAAACTTTCTGATGTTACAGTGATGATGCTTTTAAGAGTCCACAATCAATGCTTGTCTAGTCAAGTGCTGTTTTGCATCTTAACTTAAAATGTCTTTATCTTTGATCTGATGTTCTAAAAATTGAATGCTCCCTGGCTTGAAATATATTTCAAACACCAGTCATGAATGCTCTAAATATATTCTTCACTTTCAAAGAGTTTCATTACCTTTTCACCTCCAAGTTTACAATTATATCAGTTCTACTCCCTGGATGCTATGCATTTCTTTACACTCATTCTGAGAATTTGGTACCAAATAAAACAATAACCATTGATTTTTTCCCTTATTTTTCAGACCACCTCTCTGCTTTAAAATATACACTAATGTTGTAAGGAGAAATTCCTTTCCCATAACTCTCTGGGCTGACAAGGCTTATAGAAACTGATCCCTGTTTTACTTACAATCCACTGAAGAGCAAGCTGTTTGGATCCGTCTGATGCTTGGGTGCAAAGTAGTAATAGTTGAAGAACCTCATTCTGAATACAGTGTAGTACACACAAACACACATGTATGAAATGATTATACATGATATAACCTGAAACAAAAACAAACTTGAGCTTAATTTTTGTTAATATTTGAAAAATACTTTAGGGTTAACCAGTTCAATACTATGTAGCTTTGATGTTTGCTTGTTTATGCTGAACTTTACCGTGAACAGTAAATGAATTACAGTCAAGTCGCTGACAGTTCAACTCACCAACGCCAACTGGCCAACGTATAAAATTGAGTAAAGACATCAGCGAGTTGGTCTTCAATCCAATACAACTTATTAGAAGTTAAACATATAGAAAAGTAAAAGATCTTTAGTAAAAAAACAATTTTTTTCCAACAAAGTTTATAAGGATCTCATGGTGAATAAAGCAAGGAAAACATTGCCAATGACTACGAAAGCTTCAGACGCGAACGAGTTATTGTGTACACTGTCATAATAAAAGATAATACTAAAGGTCTTGTCAAGAAAGCCAAATTTAAAAAAAAAAAAATCTGACCGATTGACATGTTATATCTTTACAGTGTTGTTGTCACACAATAACGCATTTGTGTCTAAAGCTTTTTTGGTCATTGAAGTAAAAGTAAAAGTTAAGTAAAAGTGAAGTAAAAAAAGTGAAGTGAAAGTTTTTTTACTTAAGATCTTTTACTTTTCTATATGTTTAACTTCTAATAAGTTGTATTGGATTGAAGACCAACTCGCTGATGTCTCTACTCGATTTAATACATCGGCGAGTTGGCGTTGGCGAGTTGAACCATCGGCAACTCGACTAGATACCCAGTAAACAGTTGAACAAGTTGAAGTAAATCAAACGGTTCACGATTTTCTGAGTTCCACAGTAAATAAAGAAAAGGCAAAGAAATATTTTATCTTTACATCTGCAAGTTTTTTTCAAAATAAACTCACCTCTACATAGAAATAATAATATCCTTTACTAGCACTGCGTATCATCTGTGCAAATATCGACAACACTGGCTGAACATTGAAGAATGTCACCTCTGACCACACCA